ATGCCTGAACTGTATCTTTCTTTTTTTCTCTAGGAACTGATCAAATAGACTATTGCATGACAGAGATACCTCCCGTGCGTTTTTCCTTTTTATTCTGTGGTACTCCAAGGACTATTGGGGTTTCCAATCTGTGTCACAGGATCTTCCCACAAAGAGCACATAAAAGTCTTTTAATAATGAATAATAAAGAATAACATATAAAACCTAGTAAACTTTTTAATTAAGCATTTCAGCAAGTGCTTTAAAAATCTGTGCCCTAAGGGACAGTGACAGTGTCTTCTGCATATATTGTGGAATATGTAGTAGGCTATTTATTGGCTTTAAATGAATATTCAATTAATAAAGAATGGAGTATGATCCTCTGAAGAGTCTGAGAATTGTGCTTTTTCCTCCCTAAATTTCAAGCCCCCAGAAATCAATTACCTTTGAAGAAAACTCACAGTAAAATAGGTTATTTTTGTATAAGCTACCGATCTCCCCATTTTGGTAGATTCAACATTCACAGGAATTCAAAATGGACTTTAAAAAGCAATCCTGGATGTTAGGTGAAAACAAAGTTAGCTAAGATCAGAGCATCTCAATATCGGCTAATATAGTCTGGTTTTAATCTCCTTTTTATAAAAATACTCTTGTACTCCTAAAGATATGTTTTAATGCAAGCTCCGGTAAATTGGAGAAGGAGGAGGGAAAGGAGGAATTTATGTTTGTGTTGGGAGGATGGGAGGAGCAGCTGTGTAGCTGCACGTGGACAATCTTTTGTCTATTTCTTTAACATTCCTCATTTATTTGCCTCTCTTCCTCATTGTCTTTTCTTTGATTCTTAAATCGTTTCTTATGCCTACCCTTATCCCAACAATAGAGAAAATAGATATCATCTACTACTTCTTCCTAAAATAGTAACAAGATATACTTAATTATACATGCAATATTCTTTAAATTAACTAATTATTTTTATTTTGTTGGTAACATTTCCCTTTGATGATTCAAATTTAGAGAAACTGCATTTCAGCTTGAAGAACTTAAATGTGCTCCCAACTGGGCTGATTATTTTCAGCTAATCTAGTGTTCCGTTCACTGGATTCCACACACTTCCCCTGTATTGATTGTATTATCAGTAGTAGTAATCACAGTTATCATTACCAGCCAATTACACAAACACACATCTGAGCTAGGTAACCTATTCACCAACATTATCTCTTACAATTCTTAATTTTCTAATGAAGCTGATCGTCCTCTCGTCCAATTAAGAGCGTAGCTACATATTTTGATCTAGTAGGCTTAAATGCTAGCATATTGAATTATGTAGTAGGTAATTACTTTACATATGTTGGTAACAAGGTAATTTGAGTGTAATCTGTTTCTTATTCTATTTGAGGACTGCATTAGAGAAGGTTAATAGCTTGAAAAAATAGAACTGAACATGTAATTGGGTGAAATACAATGGAAGTTATTTCCTGGTCACATAACAGGACTGGGTGAGAGAACTGATACTTGGCCATGCAGTCATCCAGGAAGCCACACAGGTTTTTGACATATTCAATACAAGACTTCCAAGGGCATCTGGAAGATTCATTTCAGAGGAAAGAAACATAGAAGAGCCAATGGGAGATGTCTATGGGAAACCCTGGAAGTGAGGCATGTTCATATTCTGTTGGCTAGATCTTAGTCATATGATGGCCATACCTACCTACCAGGAAGACTAGGAAATATTATAGTCTATCCTAGGAAGAAGAAAAGAGCATGGATTTTGGTGAGCAGTTAGTACTTTCTGCCATAAGTACTCAAAATAAAACTCACTCAATTTCTCTATTTAATAAATACTTTTTTAAACTTGCCTTGTCATTATTTGAAACTTCTACTAGGCTTGCTTTGCTTTTATTTTTTTACACAATGCCAGATGTCTTATAAAACCTAAATCCAAGCCCTGCCTTTTAGATTTATACATATTAAGCAATCGAAGAATGGAGAATATAAAATTACAAAGTATTTTTCAAGTTTTTAAATACATAAATTTTGCCCATACATATTGTTGTAATTATTTTTAGCAGATTAAATTGTAGATATGTGGGTTAAATTAAAAGGTTTTGGGGACTAGAAAGGGAATCTCCTAATTCAACTCTCTAGTTTCATAGAGAAGGAATGTGAGACCTGTAGAGATGAATTATTGTACAGGGAGTGTTAGTGGTAAAGTCAGGTCCAGGCTCTTTTGCTAGTCTAAGTTTCTTTCCATAACGTTGTTTGTCATCTTTTGTATTTGCTGTCGTATAGCCCACAATGCATAAGTCATTAATGTCTATACATTTATAGAGATGAAATAAAACACAATAAATTATAATTAGCATATGGCTATCATGTACTAAAGCTATGGGAAAATAGGTCCACACAACTTCGAAGATCTATAACAAGGTAGCGACTTACTGAATGTTTTTTTTTTTTTTAAAAAATAGGCCACATGTGGTGGCTCACGCCTGTAATCCTAGCACTCTGGAAGGCCGAGGAGGGCGATTCCTTTGAGCTCAGGAGTTTGAGACCAGCCTGAGCAAGAGCGACACCCTGTCTCCACTAAAAAAATAGAAAAAAGTTAATTGGAGAACTAAAAATATAAATAGAAAAAATTAGCCGGG